ACTGTGGTTTAACGTAACATTTATACAACGCAATTTTTAACTCTGCATTCAGTAAAAACAATTCGGTTATCTTTGTACTGCTGCCTGAACAGTTTCACCAGCAAATGTTTTTAACTGATTAGCCAAATCCTTTAATTGTAAATGTAGACAGGTTTATACTTTGATTCCCAGTCTTTTCTTTCTTCAGTTTGGTCTACACAGTGATGCTTAACAGTGTGCTATGAAACTATTGTTTCCCCCATAAATTAAATGAGTCATTTCTGAGCGCATTGTATTGTATGGCTTATCACTGCAATGTCTTCCATCAGATCAGCAGAGTAAACATGTATGTCCTCTCAATGGTGCATGGCCACGTTGGTCAGAAATCTATTAGTTAATTGCGCAGCCACTGCTCATAGAGGGCAGTGCAGCTGGGACATTGCGGTCGAATAGACCAGAGGAGTGTTTAGGTGGTGAGGCAGCGTGGCCGGGTTCTGCACAGCCCTGCAGGACTCCTGGCCGTGGTTGCTCTTGGCCTGGTCAGGGTTTGTGTGTCGCATCGCTGGGTACGCCACCCAGATGTCCCCTGACAGGCCTGCTTTATGAGCCACAGGCCTGAAATCAGCGGCTTTTTCTCTCCGCACGCTTTCTGCTGAGTCAGCGCTCGCTTCATTAAAGGAGCTACTCAAGCTAAGTGTGCCTTACAGAGACCACAGAGCGTGTGTGTGTGTGTGTGTGTGTGCTTCTGTGTGTGAGTGTGTGTGTTTGTTTCTGTATGTGTGTGTGTGTGTGTTTCTGTGTGTTTCTGTGTGTGTGTGTGTGAGTGTGTGTGCGTGCATGCATGTTTTGAGGGGACAGACTGCATTACCTCACCTGTGTGTGTGTGCATGTCTGGTGTCTATGTGTGTGTGCGAGCGTGTGTGTGTGTGTGTACATGAGTGTTTTGAGGGGACAGAGTGCACTACCTCACCTAGTATGCACTTGCTGCATACCTATGTTTTGGAAGCAATTTAAAACAAAATGGCAACTGTACTTGATGTGCATTCTAGAACACCAGCCTGCATCACAGAACACAGCCTGTCTTATTTTCTGTATGGTCTCTGTGATGTCATAATAAAGGCCTTAAGTTTATATAAAAGGACTGGTGGGTTTATGTTCCATTGTTTAATGCACTCAAAGGAAGAAGGTTTAAAAATTTGGAAAGTCCTGTGCTTATAATCAAGAAGTATTAGCGAAATCACCATTGAAGGTAAGGAGGTGCTGACAATCAAAAACCTGTGTATTTTACAGCAGTAATGGTCCAGAGTATATTATATATAATCTTAATAGACTACTAGCATTTTTTATCCACAATCAATTACATTTATACTAACCAGCACATTTATTATATATTATTGTATATTATTATTATACCTGAATATATTATTACCAACATATTTCATTATTTCTCCTGCCAGGTGGAGATAAGTTATTCGCACTATTTCTTCTGCCAGATTGAGGTGAGGTACTAGCATGTTAACACTCTTTCTCCTGCCAAGTGGAGGTGAGGAACTAGCATATTAGCATTTTTTCTAGTGCCAGGTGTAGATGAGGGACTAGCATATCAGCACTAGTTCTCCAGCCAGGTAGAGGTGAGGTATTAGCATATTAGCATTTTTTCTAGTGCCAGGTGTAGATGAGGTACTAGCATATTAGCACTAGTTCTCCAGCCAGGTGGAGGTGAGGTAATAGCATATTAGCACTAGCTCTCCTGCCAGGTAGAGGTAAGGCACTAGCATATTAGCACTAGCGCTCCTTGCCAGGTAGAGGTGAGGTACAAGCATAATTAGCACTAGCTCTCCTGCCAGGTAGAGGTGAGGTACTAGCATGTTAGCGCTAGTGTCCTGCCATGTGAAGGTGAGGTATTGGCATATTAGCACTCTTTCTCCTGTGAGGATTATTATAATTATAAATCTAAATATAATTTGGGAGCTCAAACCATGAAACAGTTTTTCATGGTTAGCTAACAATGCCTAATACAGTGTACTGTGTATGTTATATACAGTTCCGTAGCTTTTTTTGAACAGTTAAAGGCACTTTAATGAGGAGTCACTAACAGATGATGGAGAAAATATTTAGCCTATAAGATAACTTTTAGCCTATTAGCATGTTTTCCTCCTTTCCAGTGGACATGAAGTATTAGCATGGTAGCATTATTCCTTCTACCAGGTGAAGGTTAGGGATTAGCACATTAGCATTTTTCTCCTGCCAAATGGAGGTGAGGTACAAGCATGTTAGCACTCTTTCTTCTACCAGGTGGAGGTGAGGTACTGCATATTAGCACTAGTTGTCCTGCCAAGTGGAGGTGAGGTACTAGCATATTAGCATTAGTTTCCTACCAGGTAGAGGTGAGGAATTAGCATATTAGCACTCTTTCTCTCGTGAGGAGGTAATTTTAGCCTTCTTTCTTTTTTTCTCCTTCCCAGTGGACATGAGATATTAGCATAGTAGTGTTAGTCCTCCTGCCCAGTGGAGGTGAGGTATTAGCATGTTAACACTCTTTCTCCTGCCAAGTGGAGGTGAGGAACTAGCATATTAGCATTATTTCTCCTGTCAGGTGGAGGTGAGGTACTAGGATCTTAGCATTAGTTGTCCTACCAGGTTGAGGTGAGGTACTAGCATATTAGCACTAGTTCTCCTGCCAGGTGGAGGTGAGGTACTAGCTAGCATATTAGAATTATTTCTCCTGTCAGGTGGAGGTGAGGTACCAGGATCTTAGCATTAGTTGTCCTACCAGGTAGAGGTGAGGCATTAGCATATCAGCACTCTTTCTCCTGTGAGGAGATAAGGTATTAGCATATTAGCCCTAGTTTTCCTACCAGGTGGAGGTGAGGTACAAGCATGTTAGCGCCAGTGTTCTGCCAGATGAAGGTGAGGTATTGGCATATTAGCACTCTTTCTCCTGCAAGGATTATTATAATTATAAATCTAAATATAATTTTGGAGCTCAAACAATGAAACAGTTTGTGTGTGTGTGTCTGTGTGTGTGTGTGTGTGTGTGTCTGTTTTTGTATGTGTGTGTTTTGAGTGGACAGTGTATACTCCCTCACCTGTGTGTGTGAGAGTGTGTTGTCCTCCTGCAGTAGTTCTGACAGGTAGCTGCTGTGTGTCAGTGTGTGTCCCTCGCCTTCAGTCTTCAGTGGGCCATCCTTCCAGTCCTGCAACAAGAAACACAACAATCAGTGTTAAAGCTGTATTTACGACTACAGTAACACACAGAGAGGGGTATTTATTAGTGCAGTAACACACAGAGAGGGGTATTTATTACTGCAGTAACACACAGAGAGGGGTATTTATTACTGCAGTAACACACAGAGAGGGGTATTTGCTATTACAGTAATGCACAGAGATTTTTATTACTGCTATAATGCACAGGGAGAGGTATTTATTCCTGCAGTAATGCACAGAGAGGGGTATTTATTACTGCAGTACTACACAGAGAGGGGTATTTATTACTGCAGTAACACACAGAGAGGGGTATTTATTACTGCAGTACTACACAGAGAGGGGTATTTATTACTGCAGTGACACACAGAGGGGTATTTATTCCTGCAGTAATGCACAGAGAGGGGTATTTATTACTGCAGTGACACACAGAGAGGGGTATTTATTACTTCAGTACTACACAGAGAGGGGTATTTATTACTGCAGTGACACACAGAGAGGGGTATTTATTACTTCAGTACTACACAGAGAGGGGTATTTATTACTGCAGTAACACACAGAGAGGGGTATTTATTACTTCAGTACTACACAGAGAGGGGTATTTATTACTGCAGTGACACAAAGAGAGGAGTATTTATAAGTAACACAGAAAGAGAAGATTTATTTCCTGCTCATATTTTCAGCATTGACTTGTATTTTCATCGCCTTCTCAAAAAGAACAGTGTCAGAAGCTCAACTACAAGGAAGCTGATGTTGCCATGGTAATGGATATAAAAGTGGTGTCCCGGGTTCCCTTGAGTGGCTCAGTCTGTAAAAGCCGCCCCCACCAATGCAGGCTGGGTCCTACAACCACACGTTTGAGCTCCAGCTTCGACAGTGGCTGAACATGACTATGAGCTCTGACCAGCTTACTATATGCTAGCTGTCTCCTGTAGCATTGTGGGAATTGTAGTGTTTATAATAGAGGTCCTCACCGGCTCCCTGTCGGACGTAGCCAGGATGGTGAAGCCCTCTTCAGTGGCCCCTCCAGCAGTCCCCAGGTTCTGGCCCTGACGAGGAGGGGCTGGTTTCCCCTCCAGCCTACGGACCTGCCGTTCCCCCTTGGCTCCACCCCCAGCTCCACCCCCAGAGCTTAGCTTTCGGACGGGATTGGTCAGCCACTTCTTGAGGGTGCTGACGGAGCGTCGGGAGCCCGGGGAGCTGGGGGCGGAGCTTCCTGAGGCCTGGGGGGGCAGGGACGCCACAGAGGTGGAGATGCTACCCTCACTGCCCCCTACGGAGTACGACTCTGTAAGACAGAGAAAGGGAGGGAAAAAATCATTTAGTTAAATTTGTTATATAATTGCAACATTTTTAAGTCCATTAACGATTTTTACCTTTACAATTAACATTACTGTAATTAAAGTGATATTTAGCCAATATTTACTCTTTCTACAACAGTTATTTCCAACTGTGCACCATATGATTGGTTAGATCCAAGTGTGCATCATGATTGGCTGAGAGACATTCCAATCCGATATACAATTGGTTACCTCACCACATCGGTATCCCTCTGCATTGTTTTTCTTTTTTTTAAAAAAAGGGGGGCAGGAAGTCCTTTTATATTTGTTTCACTTTTTTGTAGACAGTGTGAAAGGTTAGAAGGATATAGATGCAGCAGAGATAACAGTATAGAAGGGTGCCTGAGCTGAGATCCAGAAATTGAACCCCAAAGGGTATCAGTTTGAGCCGGCCGTACAGCCCTACAGACTGTTCACATAGTCTTGCCATGCTTTGTGTTGTTTCTATTGTGTTAAAGCATTTAGTGATGATCAACTGTGGGTGTAGCACAATGGTTAGGGAGCTGGTCTTGTAACTCAGAGGTCGCAGGTTCAGTTCCCAGCTAAAAGATTAGTGTCATAGGTACTTCACTTGAATTGCTCCAGCAAAACATCCCATTGTATAAATGGTTAGTGTGTAAAATATAGACTGCGTAAGTGGCTCTGGGTAAAAGTGCCTCCTAGTTGTAAATGGCTGCTCACCCCCTGCTCTTGTTGAGAGTGATGAAGTAACACTGTGACACAGAGAGAGAGAGAAAGAGTGGGGGGAGGAGAGTGATAGGGAGAGTGGAGACAGAATGATGCAACACGGTGCTGTTTTTACAGACTCCGTTTCAGAGCGGAGCGTTACTCTGCTCAGCTGTCAGCGTGCATGTCCGAGCGAATGGAGCCGGGCCGTGTCTCTTTCCCTCATTCGTACGGCACGTGCCTTTAAAGGCCTTTTTTTAAACTGGAGCCTGATGTGAGGAACCGTGGCAGTTTGCTCAGCTGTTATGTGACCCCCCGAAGGCTTAAAATAGACCGTTTGCAACTCCGACATGCACATACACAAACACACACGCACACGCACTCACGTTCTCACATGCATTCACACACACAGGCATATGCATATGCCCTCACGTGTGCACACGTGCACTCTGACACACACACACGCACGCACACACACATGCATGCACACCTGCACACTTCCTCTACCATACATACTTATACAGACTCATCAAAATCAGCAGCCACACATACACACTCTCATACACCAACATATATAGACTCAGATGAACACACACATACACACTATCTCTCATACACACAGACACACAAAAACAGATACAGATACAAAAAGGAACTCGCACATGCAAACTCTCTCACATACACAGACAAACATATATGGACTCAAACAGAGACACCCGCACACATGCACACTCTCATACAAATACTGACTCAAACATGAACACACACGTATGTACTCTTTCTCTCTCTCACACACATGCACAAGAAGATGTGTAAAACCACCTCCTCTCTCACACATGTACACACACAAGTACACATACCTCTCTCTCATACACACATAGATGGACTCAAACATGAACACACACACATACACACTCTTTCTCTCTCACACACACACAAAGAAGAGGATGTGTACGTAACACAAAGAGCATGGGAAGGAAAAGGGGCCAGGACAGCGACTGGGGTTGGAGGGGATCGGGGGGGGGGGGGGGGTGGTTGGTTGTTTGTAGGGACAGGAAACACACTTTAATCCTGACCACAGGAAGCCTTAATTTGGGGGTTTTGAATATCTGTCCTCTCTCCCATCATTGGGGCGCACACATTTCAGCCATTTAGCCAAAGCCATATTTCCATTTCCCATAATTCCATTCCGTAATTTCCACTCCAGCTTCCCATTGGCTGTTTGCAGTCAGCCCACTGAGCAACCCTGGGAAAATCCTCCTAAAGATACTACAGCTCTGCTTTGGATGCTCAAACTTATATTACATTACATTACATTACATTACATTTAGCAGACACCCTAATCCAGAGCCATTTACAATGCAAATGGAAATCAGAAACAGTTCTTCATAGAACTTCAGCTTTGGCATTTTCTCCATTCCTTTTTGTCAAATACTTTCATTTATTCTCCTCTTGCCAACCTTTTCAGTCTCCGTATAGAATCTCTACAATAAACAGATGGTCAGCTCCAGAATCTCCTCTGTCCACTCTGTCTGCTTATTCTCTGAGGTTCTGAGTGGTAACATGAGTTACAATTAATGAATAATCATGAAGGGGTTATCCTGAAAGACAGAACATCCATTGGAACCAGTATTCTGGCAATAGACGTTCTGTCCTTGGGCCACTCTCATTAAATTAATATTTATAATTTTAATCCAACTGATATGATTCAGTGACATACATCAGAGAGAAAGAACTCTGAATGATGAATACATGAAACCGATTATTTGGTTAACCTTTTGAATCGGTGTTCTCACCCTTAATTGGTTTAGTGATACAACAGGGCAGTGACCTTTGACCTTTGACTGGGGTCATTAACACCGAATAAACACATGGATCTTGAAGCGTCAGTTTTCAAACTGTTTTATCTTCCAAATGGCTGCCATTTTCATCAAGTTTTATTGTGCTTTGTCTCTAGATATGAGCAATGACATTAGAAGCTCAAATGACAAGTGAGAATTGACCATAAGCACAAACCACAGTCATAGCGGCAGATAGTGGTTGTTAATGAAATGTAGAGCGTTTCACACAAACCCGAAGCATGACCTAGGGAGCGAGTTGTGAGAGCTGATTTGCCAGGATGGCGTGTGAGTTAGCGGTGTCCTTTTTCATATCAGCATGCCTGACAGTCAGCACGTCTTCCCAGAATTCCCCTGAAAGTCCTTTCACACACTGCAAGAGAGTAAGGCTGTCTCCCCATGGGAGAGAGTTCATGCATCTGCCTGTTGAAAATGAAGAGACCCTGTACATATATCTTGAGTGTATATGTGTGTGCTTGTGTGTGTGTGTCTGCTGTATTATATTGTTTGTACTTATGCTTGCATATATGGATGTGTGCATGAATACGTGTGTGGGTGAGTCTGAGTCTTTGTGTGTGTGTGTGTGTGTGTGTGTGTGTATTGGGGGGGGGGTAACTTGATGCATCTGGCCTTACTGTTAAAACTATTCTGAAAAGCTTCTCAACTCCCGGAACAAGTGACTCGATGGCGTTCAGTTAGCAACCGCTATTATCTCCCATTCCTTTCTTCTTGCCTGTGTTTGATTAGATTTGTCACACCAAATTCACAGCTGTAGTACAAACACCCCCCCAACACCCTCCAAAGACACACACACACACACACACAGCATTCACCACATCTCAATGTGACACCCACCCCCGCAGAGTGATTCAGACACAACATGGCAACCCTGTTTGTAACAAATCTCTTTCAGTCCTTTCCAAGAACAATCAACCAACGCTTCACGGGACGAATGAATCGCGGCGTACGCTGTGGACCGAACGACCGGCGTAATGATAGATAAACCGCGGAACTATGAGTTATTAGCGTGAGTGGGAGATCGACAGAGGAAAAGTAGGCCCTTGATACACGGCACTGTATAAATGTGATTAAAATCTAATTTAGCTGGCGTCCCTGTATAATCTACCTTTCTGAGAGGATGGTTCAATGTCAGAGCAGCTCAATGGGCGAGTTTTAAAAAAATATGAATAAAACACTTGTGCTGATGGTTATTTTTAGCGTGTTTGTTTTTTCGTCGAGGGCCCCTCGGGTTCCGGATGTGGACACTCTCAGCAGGAGAGAGGGAAAGAACGCATCACACACACGTACGCGCACACACACACACTTGCACACATCCTCAACCCGTCACACGCCCCCTAGCACATACATTGGTACACATGGAGGTGAGAACACTAGTGCCCAAATATGGATGAACACTTACACACATATCTATACCCAACACACACACACTCACACTGTAACTCACATGCACATGCACACACACTCTCACTCACAAACATACATACACACTCAATCACATACACACACAATCTCACTCACACTTTCACACACACAAAACCCAACTCATAAACATACATACACACACACCCACTCTCTCTCTCTCACATACACACACGCACACACTCTTCACCCAAAACACTCTAAAATATACACAAGCACACACTCTTCACCCAAAAAACATATACATACACTCACACACACACACACTCACTCACATACTCTCACTCTCATACACACACACACACACACACACTCACGCACTCTCATCCATAGACATACATATACATACACTCACACACACACATACACATTCTCTCACACACATTCAGCATTAAACTCTAAGGAATCTCAGGGATGGAGGGATGAACAGGAGGAAAGAGGAGAGGAAGAAGAGGCCACGTCCTTTGGGAGAAGAGTGGGGCCTTGAGCAAACAAAAAGACACAGAGACAGAGAAAGAGAGAGAAACAGAGAGCGAGAGAGCGACAGAGGGTATAAAAACCCAGAGGGGGCGAGGTGCTCAAGTGCGGTGGCGGTACATGGCTGGCAGTCTGCTGTAACCGCTCCAGAAAGCCACACACTCGTGGGCCTCTAACCCCCCCGTCCTGATTATTTGCGAGTTATAAAAAAAAGGCCAGTCTGACTCCTCGCCTGGCTCTGCAGACGAGGCTCGAGGCGAGAGGACGGGGAAAAAGAAAACCAAACGGATGAATCTGAATACAGTTTAAACTTTAATTCATGACTGCGAGGACCAACTTTCCTTCTTTTTTTTCCGTCTTTCATTTTTTCTGCTGACCTCAGTGAAGGACGGGGTTGGCTTTGGCTCGGAGATCGCTCTCTCTTTCTCTCCTTCTCTCCTTCTCTCTGAGTGTGTTTGTTCCCTCTCCCTAAACCTGACTTCCCTTCTCTTCAAGACAAACTTTGCTTGGCTCACTCACGGCCGCTGAGTTTACACATGCGTCTGGATTTTTATGCCTTTTTATACATCGGTTACGTCATACCAAAGTCGATGAGCTATTGGCTCAGGATGGTGGAGAGTTGGGTTGTGTGGGAGAATGGGTATTGGGGGAGGGTGTGGTCTCGTCTCTAACCTGGCCTTCCTTCTCTAGCCCGTTAAACCTGGGTGTCTGTATTTGCTGTCGAGTGGCAGGAAGGTGAGTGGCTCCAAGAACCAACCAAGCCCATACAAAAGCAGATCTGTGATCCTCTGATACTGCCTGCCGGTCTAATTCTGCATTCACTCTCTCCAGTTTGGCTAAAAAAGGAGATTGCCCCCCAGACAAACTGACAGACTGATCCTCCAAAAAAACAACAGATCCTCTCAATAACGATCTCTCCAATTTTACTGGCAATATACTCTCCAACAGAATGGACAGGAGTAGCACCTTCAATTTTGACTTTCCTAAGCTCGCTGTGATTGGTTCAGTTTTGATGGAGGGTGTGTCATTAAGACAAATCTGTATACTAGTCAGCCCCCCTCCCCCCCTCCCCCCACCCGAACCCACCACCTCTGCGATCTGTAAACTCCCAGTATCCACTCTGTCC